CTATATTATCTTACTTTGGTGACAAAGAAGATCAAAACACATAACCAGAAGAAGACAAAGAAGCCAAAGCTCCTACATCCAGAGCCTCCAAGAAAAACATGAATCAGTCCCAGGCCTTAGAAGAGCTCAAAAGAGATTTTGAGAAGCAAGTAAGAGAAGTAGAGGAAAAGCTGAGAGTGACGCTAAAGAAGACCCCAAAAAATACTGAAGAAAATCACACCTTAAAAAATAGCCTAACCCAAATGGCAAAAGAGGTCCAAAAAGCCAATGAGGAGAAGAATGCCCTTAAAAGCAAAATTGTTCAAATGGAAAAGGAAGTCCAAAAGTTTACTGAAGAAAATACTTCCTTAAAAATTAGAATGGAGCAATTGGAAGCTAGTGACAATTTGAGAAATCAAGGCATTTTAATACTAATCCAAAAGAATAAAAAAATAGAAGAGGATGTGAAATACCTCATTGGAAAAACAACTGACCTGGAGAATAGATCCAGGAGAGAGAACTTAAAAATTACTGAACTATCTGAAAGCCATGATCAAAAAAAGAGCCTAGACATCATCTTTCAAGAAATTATCAAGGAAAACTGCCCTGATATTTTAGAACCAGAAGAAATTGAAAGAATACACTGATCTCCTCCTGAAAGAGATCCCCAAAAGAAAACTCCTAGGAATATTGTAACCAAATTCCAGAATTCCCAGGTCAAGGAGAAACTATTGCAAGCAGCCAGAAAGATGCTTGCCTTTTCTTTTTTTTTTAAATTTTTTTAAAAAAAAATTTAACATGTGTTTTTAAAACTTTGGGTTACAAATTTTCTCCCTTCCTCCCTCCCCACCCACCCTCATTGAAAAGGCAAGCATCTCCCAGCCTGGCATGATATACCTTTCTGATCAACCATCCAAGCTGTTTTTGGCTGGAAATTTGTTTCTCTCTGTTTTTCTGTGGGTTTTGCTGCTTTAGAATTTGTTTAGAGCCATTTTTTGCAGGTATTTGGAGGGGGTTGGGGGAGAGCTCAAGCAAGTCAGGGCTTTTACTCTGCCAGCTTGACTCCGCCCCCTGAGATGTTTGCCTTTTCAATGAGGGTGGGTGGGGCGAGAGGAAGGCAGGAAGTTTGTAACCCAAAGTTTTAAAAACTGTTAAAATGTTAAAAATAAAAGTTAAAAGAAAAAAATAAATAAATTCGTGTTAAAAAAAATCTATGACTTATGAATCAGTATAGGAAGCCGTACAGGATAGAGCTGAGTCACATGCAGGAGAGCCCCAGAGCCCGACGCACGCCCAGTAAGCACTGAAAGGCTCCACCCCTCATTTCAGACATTGCGGAGAATTGCCCCAATCCTCCTCGGTAAGAGCTGTGTCTGATTTGAGGAATCTGATATGCACCCTGGCACAGTCCCTCCCGCCATGGTTCTGCTATATGCTGTCATGCAGCTCACAGGTGAGTGATGGCACGCGCCTGGTCCTGTCCGTACTCTGGTCCTCTTAGCTGGAGCTTGAAAAAGTAAGGATTGGGGGTAGGGGGTGGGGAGAGAAACTTGGAAATAGTGAGTACTGCTCAAGAGAAAGCAGAAAGTGGCATCGAAGCTCAGGAGTCGGTGCTCACCGGTGCCTGAGGAGAGGAAGCCAAGATGCCCAAGAGGAGCTTAGCAAGGTTGTCAGCTAAACCTGTCCTTGCAAAGGTTTAACCTAAGCCTTTAAAAACAGTAGGGAAGGATAAATCCGAGGGCAAAAATCTTTCGGCAGAAAATGGAAAAACTAAAAATGAAGAGGTCCCACTCTCTGATTCAGCAGGAGAGAAAGAAACTAAATCTGAGTAACATCTTATACCAAGTCTTTTTTTTTAATTGTCCCTATTAACTTCCTTTTTGTACAATTATTTTTTTTTTATCAACTATTTTGTAAATGCCAGGGTTGTTTTTTTTTTTAAGTAGCTCTAGAAACATTTTTAAGGAGGCAATCCTACCTCATCATATTAATTATTTTTATTTTGAGTAGTATTTTATTTTTTCCAATTATATGTAAAGACAATTTTAACATTCATTTTTTAAATAAAATTTTGAGTTCCAAATATTCTCCCTCCCATCCTCCCCTCCTCCCTCCCTAAGACAGTAAGCAATTTGATATAGGTTATATATGTGCAATAATGTAAAACATATTTCCATATTAGTGATATTGTGAAAGAAGAAGCAGAACAAAAGGAAAAATAATGAAAAAATATAGAAAGTGAAAAATAGTGTGCTTCCATCTGCATTCAGACTCCGTTTTTTCTCTGATGTGGATAGCATTTTCCATCATGAGTCTTTTGAAGTTGTCTTGAATCATTGTATTGCTGAGCATAGCTAAATCAATCACAGTTCTTCATCATACAATATTGCTGTTACTGTGTACAATGTTCTCCTGGTTCTGCTCATTTCACTTTGTATCAGTTCGTGTAAGTCTTTCTATTCTGAGAGCATCCTGCTCGTCATTTCTTATAGCACAATAGTATTCTATGACAATCATATACCACAACTTGTTCAGTCGTTCCCCAACTGATGGGTATCCCCTCAATTTCCAATTCTTTGCCACCATTAAAAGAACTGCCATAAATATTTTTGTACTTATAGGTCCTTTCTCTTTTTCATTTCTTTGGGATACAGACCTAGTAGTGGTATTGCTGGTCAAAGGGTATACATGATTTTATAGCTCTTTGAGCATTGTTCCAAGTTGCTCTACATAATGGTTGAATCAGTTCGCAATTCCACCAACAGTGCATTAGTATCTCAATTTTCCCACATCCCTTCCAACATTTGTCATTTTACTTTTCTGTCATATTAGCCAATCTGATATGTATGAGGTGGGACTTCAGAATTTTTAAAAATTTGCATTTCTCTGATCAATAGTTATTTAGAGCATTTTTTCACATGACTCTAGATAGCTTTGATTACTTTGTCTGAAAACTGTTCATATCCTTTGACCATTTATCAACTGAAGAATGACACTTCACTTGACACTTACTAGCTGTGTGACCCTGGGCAAGTCACCCCAATTGCCTAAAAAAAAAAAATTTTAAAAAAAGAATGGCTTTTATTTTTATAAATTTGACTCAGTTCTCTATATATTTGAGAAATGAGGCCTTTATCAAAGAAACACTGCAAGAATTTTTTTCACAGTTATCATTACTGTGTGTTTCCTTCCATCCTATTTCCACCCTGCTGTTTATCCTACTCTCTCTCCTTTCACCCTGTCAATTCTCAAAAGTGTCTTGTTTCTGACTACCACCTCCCCTAATCCACTCTCCTTTCTATCCTTTTCTTATCCCCTTCCCTTCCTACTTTCCTGTAGGATAAGATAGATTTCTATATCCAGCTGAGTATGTATGTTATTCCCTCTTTGAGTCAATTCTGATAAGGTTCCTGAGCTCTACCCACACCCTGCACCCTGTCTCATTTTTATAGGGTTTTTTGGGGGAAACAGACCTACTTCTATCTGTGCCATCTTGGAATTTCTTCACTAACATATCCAAATCATCTCAAAATTATTAGCATCTTTTTGATGTTTTGTTGGTCTGTAACTGCGGAGGTCTGGAATTTGTCCGAAATTTACATATCATAGGACCAGAACCCTGACAGCAGCACCTGTTTGGCTTCTGCTGATTCAGCACATTAGCAGGATGTGAATTTTAGTTAATATCTGATACAGTTTGTATCCTATTGAGGCAGCTAGATGGCTCAGTGGACAGGTCACTGTGCCTGGGGAGTCAGGTAGGCCTCAGTTCAAATCTGGTCTCAAATACTTACTAACTATGTGACCCTGGGTAACTCACTTAAACCTCTGTTTGTCTTAATCCACTGGACGAGAAAATGGCAAACCACTCCAGTATCTTTGCCCTAATTCCCAAAACCAAAATGAGGCTCTGATGCCAATTTCAATCCACTTTCTAATATACAATAGTAGCTACCACATGAGCTGAAACTTGAAAGTGAGGATTCAGATAGATGCAGGCAAGCAAAGTATACTCTCTAACCATAGGTGAAGATATGGAAATGGGAAATGCAGACGTTGGGAAATGGTTAATAGTCAAGTTTGTCTGGAATGAAGAAAGCATAAAAGGAAAGAACATACGAAAGTTAGAAAGGCTCCAGAATTTGCATTTTCATTGTAGAGGCAACACCCCTGAAGGCTTTTGAGCAGGGAGGGTGATAGTTGGCTATGTGGAGGATAGACCAGAGAAGAGAGAATAGAAATAGGGAGATGAATCTGGAGGCTATTAGAATAGTGCAAGCAAGAGGTGGTGAGAACCTGGTCTAGTGTGGTGGTCATGTGAATAGAAAGAATAGATTATATATGTTGATGTTATTGTTCATCCTTCATTCTCAAAGAGGACTGATGACATCATGAGTGTGATGTCATGATTTGCACCATGAATTGGATTTGAGTGAGGTAGAGCTGCACAAAGTCACCAGCCTCACTCTGTCCTCCAGGGTCATTGGAGTCCAGTGGCAAGACAAAGGTCAGGATGACTAGCGATGCCCCAGGATGCAGTGGCTGACCATGGCCTTTTAAAATCAAGGTCTTTCCCAGGTCTATAGAGGTAGAAGTGATAAAACTTGGTGACCAATTGACTGTGAAAAGTAGGAGAGGAAATGTCATGGTTGAATACAAGACTCCACACTTGGGAGACTGAGATCATGGTGGGTGCCCTCAAGAGAAGGAGAGAAGTCTGGAGAAGGTTCAGGTTTGGAGGGAAAGACACATGAGATTGATATGCCTGTAGTACTTGTAGGTAGACCTCTTTCAGGACCTTCCTGTATTTTTAATCCCCTTGTCTGTCTCAGGTGAGTAAGGGGCCTCTTTTCCTATTCTCTGATAAGTCTTATTCTGTCCTTTCACAGGTATTGGCATCACATCAGGGAAGATGTCTTCTCTGAACAGGACTCTGGGAGATTATGTTCTGTTGCGCCCTGATTCAAAAATTGGAAACGAGACCATGTTGACCAAATGGTATTTTCTGTCTAAGAATCTGAGCCTACTCACCATCTGGTCAGGGGAGAGCAGTCCCCGCTGGATCATTCCTCGGAAGGAATACAACGGGAGGCTGTCTGTTTCTGATGGGGAGTCTCTGAAGATCATGAATCTGACTTGTGAAGACAACGGATATTATGAAGCTCATATCATATCAGTCTCAGGAGAGATATATATTGAAAAGTTCAATTTAACTGTCCTTGGTAAATGAGCCACATGTCTCCATTTGGACCCCATCTTGCTACCACACGCTTGTACACTTTAAAAAACTTCCTTCCATTCTCCTATCTTCAGACCTTTTCAAAATCTGGGTCCCCTCCAACTTTGCGTTTTAGAAAGGGAAGGAAGGACAGAGCTGCTCTTTCCTTACATAAGTGAAATTTAGAGGATAGAAGACTAAGGTTGAAAAGACTATCCCAAGGTCACAAACTTAAGAGGCAGCCCAAATGAATGAATAGGATTGACTGAATTATAGACTTACCTTCCCTGGAGAAGTATGTGAAGGTCATTGAGCTGATCAGTCGCTCATTCCTTCCTTAGCCCTCCCTGTGGGAATTGCCCTAGACTGAGGAATGCTCCTTAAGGGGTGAATGTGCTCCTGAAGTAGTAAGGTAGAAACACCATCCCTGTCTTCTGGGTGCACCCTCATTGACAGGAGAGAGACGAGATGTAGGAGGCAAGGACGTGTACTTGAGGAAGAGAACTGGTGCGCATTGGGAGAGAAGGAAGGCTTTTTGGGGAGAAATTGAAGGAGAACTGAAGGAGCTTAGTAAATCCTGGGTAGGCAAGAACTCTAGAAGAGATACTCTAAGATGCTGCCTATTGTCCTATCTTATTCATAGCTTATCTGATCATCTTTATATCTCTGCTCTCTGTTCCAACCATTTAGGTCAGGGGTGAGGAACCTGTGACCTCAAGGTTACATGTGGCCCTCTAGGTCCTCAAGTGTGGCCCTTTGACTGAATCTGTGAAGTTTGGATTCTGTCAAGGGCTGCACTTGAGGACCTAGAGGGCCACATGTGGCCCCGAGGCTGTGAGTTCCTCACCCCTGTTCTAGGCCCTTTTCTCTCTTCATTCCTCATCTTTCCATACTCCCCACTGCCATTTTCCTGGTTCTTGTTTACCTAGATGCCAAAAAAATTCTACAAGGAGTAAAATCTCTACTACTCTGTCTTTCCTATTCTCTGCTCCGTCCCATCCCTGCACCCCCTCCCCACCCTTGCTTCCTTCACATACTCTCATCCCCTATCCTCCTTCCCCTTTCCCCACAACAGATTGATTCTGGTTGATCCTAACTTCTTGTTTTAGGCACTGTGACTATAGAGTCTAACACAAATCCATGGATTTGGTTGTCCCTGCTTGGCATCCCGATGTTCCTGGTGGCAGTTTGGTGTTTTCCTCATAAAGTAAAGAGTTTCCCTTGCAAAATCAGAGGTAACCTGAATATAAGAGGGATTATGGCTGTGTTGGGGCAATGGGACTTGGGTAGCGAATTGCATTGGTTTTACTTTTTGGAAAGGGGAAGGAGGAGTTGGGCCCTAAGTCCTGGATATTCTGGTCAGTAGACTAACTTCATAGAATGGATGCGACCAGTTTTCTTGGACAGTCATTCTTCTCATTCCTAGGCATTCTCACGAAAGGAAACATACAAGCAGTAGTGTATCACGGGAATGAGAGAAGACTAGAGGAGGGCTTGACAACTTGACCAAATGACTTCCATTCAGATCAAAAAACACACTGAAGACACCTATGAGTAAGTCAACTCCTTGCTAGCCATTTATCTATAGGAAAGGCACGAATGAGGCCAGTCAGGTATGGGTAGGGGGAAGAACATGATCCTGCCTCTTGGTCTTAGTTTTATTCTTATATCTTTTCCTCCTTTAACCCATTTGGGGATTGAAAACTGAGGGTGCCCTAACCCACTGTAGACAGTTTTCTGGGAGGGTATTCTCTAAATAGACAGAGATAAGGTGCAGTTGAGCAATCAGAAATTAAACAGCAAGCCCCAAGAAATCCCAATTCTAGGTAAGACAGCCCTCCGACAAAAACCTTGCCACTGGTGACCAGGAAATCAAAGAAAGAAAACAGAATTAAGTCTAAACTAACTAGTCAGAAAAGACAATTCTGTTTCAGGGCACTTGGGTCAAGAAATCTCCTTCTGCATAGGAAATGCTCATTCTAGCCAAGGCTGGAAAAAACAGATGTGTTTTACGTTATTGGGGAAAAATCCTCTAGGGTTTTTTCCTCTAGTATCATGGTTAGGTGTCTGAAGGCTCCTTTGCCTTTTAAAAGAGCTGTTCTATTGTAAGAGTTTTCTGGGTAATAATAGATAAATGAATGAACAAACAAACGAATAAATAGATATATTTTTAAAAAGAGCAATAGTGGCAGAACCCAATCATCCTCTTATGAGAAAGAAGTAGCAGCTCAGCTGAATTTTCAGCTTGAGCCAGGAGCTGAGAGCAGATGGAAGCATCATATCCCAAAGTACAACTTCTTATAAAAATGCAGAAGTAAAAAACCACCTTAGTAGTGTCCTTGAGACCTTTTAAAGCAAAGTGTGTGGGTTTCTGGCAGGTGTAAATTTTTGACTGATGAGTTGACAGCATAGAAAAGTCATTTATACAGACCCTCATGTTCCAGAGAGCCTTGCCAACTGCAAACACAAGATCATGGAATTATGCTGGGCAGAGTCTGCATGCCACAGGAGACCAGCTGAGAGCAACATGGACAAGAGCAACCCAACAAATATCGACCAACAAAGACATTGTCCATCCTAAAGTCTTAGAGGCTTGCACTGATTTTTCCAGACCTGTGCCCTGGGCACAGATTACCACAAGTGTGGCCTACACGTGTCCATGCTTCCCTTTGATGGGGTATATTGGTGGCAAACTCTGCCTTAGATTTATAGGGGGAGATATATCATTACTTCTCTTTACCGGCCTCTTCAATGTCATTCTATCCAATATCCTCATTCCTCCCCTCTCCTACTGGAACTCCATCACATCAGCACTGATCTCTGATAAGTGAGCTTTCATGTTCTTGTCCAGCACCAGGACTCCATGCCATTTCCTGGGATCTCCATGCTAGGCTACAGAACGCATCACCTATCCCATTCCAGCTCCCCCTGGCTGTGTTGTCTTCTGCAATTCAAATATAAGCTCCCTGAGGGCACAATGAATACTGAGATCAGTTCAACTTCTGCATTAGACACATAATAGTGCGTGACCCTGGACAAGTCACTTAGCCTCAGTTCGCCTTACTTTCCTCATCTGTAAGATGGGAATATAATTGCACCTACCTCCTAGAGTTAGAGAAAATGAGATATTTGCAAAGCTCTTTGTGAGCCTTAAAGCACTATGTAAATGCTAGCTATTATTATTAATATTTGTATCTCTGGCACTTTGTACAGTGCCTCGCAGAAAATGAGCACTTAATCAATTCCATATTTATCTATCTCTTTCACTAAGTGCCTTTGCTAGTGAAATGAACAGAACCAGGAGAACACCATATACAGTAACAGCAATATTGTATGATGATCAACTGTGAATGACTTAGCTATTTTCAGCAATACAATGATCCCAGACAATTCTGAATATTATAGTCAAATTCCAAAACCCCCAGCTCAAAGATAAAATATTACAAGTAACAAGGAAAAAAACAATTTACATATGGTAGTGCCATAATTAGAATCACACAAGACTTATCAGTGGCAACTGCAGGTCTTGAAACACAAAGAGCAAAAGAACTGGACCTCTAGCCAAAAATATCATACCCAGCAAAGCTAAGCGTAATTCTTAATGAAAAAAAAAATGGATATTTAATGAATTATCAGACTTTCAGGACTTTGTTACAAAAACCAACCTTAACTTACTGGAAGATTTGACATACAAGAGCCAAGAGAAACATAAGGTGCATACCAAAGATCAATTACAGGGGACTTAATAAAGACGGGTTCTTTACCTTTTATATATGTAAAATGTAAAATATATGTCTATGATTGTTTATCCATGCTTAATTGTAGCCTTTGGCGGGGGGGGGAGGAAGGGAGAAAAAAGAACAAAGTAAGAAGTGTACTGCAGAAAACAAAAGAAAACTTACAAGGAAGCAAAGAAAAGATGGGCAGCTTTCAACACAATGAGTAGTATTTAACATATAGGCTTTCTTGAAATGGAAATTTATCGCTATATATTTTGAATCCTCTCTTATGTTCTGCTGTACATATGATGTTTTTCCTCTTTTTTATTATATATTTAAGTTTATGTTTCTTTTTCTTTTCTTATATATTAAAGTTATAGTACTTTATTCTAAAATTTTAAAAATTTTTTAAAAAAGAGTAAAGAGTGTGAAACGTAAATTCATGGCTTTATAGTGAATCCTCTTTTTATGCTGTGCTGTATTCATGGAAATGTTCTTTTTTTTTTTTTTGGTCTTTATGTATCTGAGAACAAAATGAATAGAAAAAACCATGACTAAAATGGAAATATGTTTTTCATGACTGCACATGTATAACCTGTATCAAATTGTTTGCCTTTTCAATGAAGCGGGAAGGGAAGAGAGGGAGAAAGAGAATTTGGAACTCAAAAATATCAAAAACCAAATGTTAAATCTTTATACTTGTCAAATACAAGGTTATTTTGTTTATTTGCTGCACTCTATTCCATTGATCTACCTTTCTGTTTCTTAGCCAGTACCAGATGATTTTGATAATTACTGCCTTATAATATAATTTAAGATCTGGTACTGCTAAACCTCCTTCCTTTACATTTTATTCATTATTTCCTTTGATATTCTTGACTTTTTGTTCTTCTGAATGAATTTTGTTATTATTTTTTCTAATTCAGTAAAATAATTTTTTGGTAATTTAATTGGGATGGCATTGAATATATAAATTAGTTTGGGCAAATTGTCATTTTTATTATATTGGCCCTGCCTATCCATGGACAATTAATATTTCTCCAATCATATAAATCTGATTTTATTTGTATAAAAAGTTGTTTGTTTGTTTTTTTGGCAATTGGGGTTAAGTGGCTTCCCCAGGGTCACACAGCTAGTAAGTGTCAAGTGTTTGGTCTGAGGCTGGATTTGAACTCAGTTCCTCCTGACTTCAGGGCCAGTGCTCTATCTACTGTACCACCTAGCTGCCCCAAAAGTTTTTTTTTTTTTTTAATAATTTTGTTTATGTAGTTCCTGGATTTGTTCTGGCAGGTATATTTTCAGGTATTTTATACTATCTAGAGTTATTTTAAATGAGGTATCTTTTACTATCTCTTCTTGCAGTTTTGTTTGTGATATATAGGAATACTGATGATTTATGTGGATTTACTTTATATCCTGCTACTTTGCTAAAATTATTGTTTCAACTAACTTTTTAGTTGAATCTTTGGGATTTTCCAAGCATATCATCGTATCATCTCCAAAAATAAAGAGTTTTATTACCTCATTCCTTATTCTGATTCTTTCTGCAGATAGAAGTATACTATTTGCTCTTTTTTTTTCTTCTTCAGTTTTGTTTTGTTTCTTCTTTCTTGTGGTTCCTCCTATTGGTTCTAATTCTTCTTTACAACATGAATAATGCAATAATATGCTTAATAGGAATGTATATGTAGAGCCTATATCATATTGTATGCTGTCTTGGGGAGGGAGGGAGGGGGAGAAAATTTAAAACTCAAAAGCTTATGGAAGTGAATGTTGAAAACCAAAAATAAATTGATAAAAAAGATTAGATTGTTTAATCTCCAATTAGTTTTTAATTTATGTTCCCATGGTCCCTTATTAAACATAATTTTTATTGCATTATGATCTGAAAAGGATACTTTTTATATTTCTGCTTTTTTGCTTTTAACTATAAAATTTTTATGTGCTAATATATGGTGAATTTTTGTAAAGGTATCACAAATTGCTGAGTTTCTATTTTCATTCAGTTATCTCCAAATATCTATCATATCTAACTTACCTAAATTCTATTAATTTCTTTAACTTCTTTCTTATTTGTTTTTTGGTTAGATTTATCTAGTTCTGAGAAGGGAAGATTAAAGTCCTCTGTTATTATAGTACTACTATCTATCTCCACCTGTAATTCATTTAATTTTTCTTTTAAAAATTTAGATGTTGGGGCAGCTAGGTGGTGCGGTGGATAGAGCTCCAGCCTTGGAGTCAGGAGGACCTGAGTTGAAATCTGGCCTCAGACACCCGACACTTACTAGCTCTGTGACCCTGGGCAAGTCACTTAAGCCCAATTCCCTTACACACACACACAAGCAAAAAAAAATTTAGATGTTATATTATTTGGTGCATATAGGTTCAGTATTGAAATTGCTTCATTGTCTATGGTACCTTTTATCAAAATGTAGTTACCCTGTTTATCTCTTTTAATTAAATGTATTTTAGCCATAACTTTGTCTGAGATTATAATTGCTACCCCTGCCTTTTTTGCATCTCCTGAAGTATAATAAATTCTGCTCCAATCCTCCATTTTAATTTTGTGTGTATCTCTCATTCTTAAATGTGTTTCTTGTAAACAATATATTGTTGAATTCTGATTTTTAATCCATTCTGCTATCCATTTCTGTTTTATGGGTGAATTCATCCCATTCACATTCAAAGTTATAATTACTATTTGTGAATTTCCCTCCATTTTATTTTCACTCACTGTTTTCCTTCTCAGCCTCTCTTCTTACCCTCTCCCTATGTTATCTTCTCCCCTTACCCTCTTATTCCTTATTTTGCCTATTCCTCTAAAAGTCCCTCCCCCGCCTCATCCCCCAGTTTTTTCACCTCTCTAGAAGTTCAGAAGACTTCTAAACCTTTCTGGAAGTATACTTTTCCTCTTCAACCCAGATGAGAGTGAGTTACCGGCCCTCCACACCCACCTACTTCCTCTGTAATAATTCTTCCTTTCATGCCCCTTTTTTTATGAGGTAATTGCTCCTTTTTAACTTTTCCTACCCAATTTTGTTTTTTAGAATCACCCTATCATACACAACTTAGCCCCAATCTTTCTTTTGAACTACCTTAGTAATGATGATAGTTTTAAGAATACTGATAACATTTTCATATATCATAAGTAAACAGTTTGACCTTAATAAGTGCCTTATAATTAGTCTTTAATCTTTTCCTTACATTTCTTCTGGATCTTTTATATTGATTTTTCTACTGAGTTCTGGTCTTCTTGTTACAAACACCTAAAAGTCTTTCAGTTCATCAAACATCCATTTGTTTTTCATTCAGGATTATATCCAGCTTTGCTGGGTAAGTTATTCTTGGATGTAAACCCACCTCCTTTGTCTTCAAAATATAATGTTTCAAGACTTAGAGTCTTTTAATGTAGAAGCTGCTAGGTCTTGTGAAATCCTGACTGTTTTTCCACAGTATTTAAATTGTTTTTTTTCTTGTTGCTTGCAATATTTTCTCCTTAACCTGGGAATTTTGAAACTTGACTATGACATTCTTGTAAATTTTCCTCCTGGGATCTCTTTCAGGTGGTGAACATTAGTTTTTTTCTATTTCTGTTTTATTCTCTTGTTTTAGAACTTCAGGTCAATTTTCCTTAATAATTTCTTACAGTAGTTTATCCAGATTCTTTTTCTCATCATAACTTTCAGGTAGTCCGACAAGTCTTATATTGTCTCTCCTTGATCTGTTCTCCAGATCAGTTGTTTTTCTAATGGGATGTTTCAGATTCTCTTCTATTTTTTCTGGTTTTATTATTTCATGGTGTCTTCTAATGTCACTCAATTCTGTTTGCCCAATTCTAGTTTTCAAGGAGTTATTTTCTTCTTTAAGATTTTGTATCTCTTTTTCCAATTGGTTAACTTTCTTTTCATAATTTTCTTTGATTACTTTTATTTTTTTCCCCTAATTTTTTCTTGATCTCTCTTAC